TACAAACATTCTGAATCCGGCATTATTCTCCTTTTTGTGTATGTTGATGATATTGTTATTACTAGCAGTGATACTATAGGAATTTCATCCCCGAAGTCCTTCATTCACACCCAATTTCACACGAAAGACTTAGGGGTGTTGAAGTATTTATTAGGAGTTGAGGTGACAAAAAGTAAGAAAGGCATCTTCTTATCTCAGAGAAAATATGTACTTGACTCATTAACTAAGACAGAAAAGTTGAGAGCTAAGCCAAACGGTGCTCCAATGCTTCCTAATTTGTAACTTACCAATGATGGTGACTTATTTAAAGATCCTGAGAAGTATAAAAGACTGATTGAAAAATTGAACTACCTTACAGTAACATGTTTGGATATTGCGTATTCTATCATCATTATAAGTTAATTCATGTCTTTCCCAATAGTTCACCATTGGGAAACTTTAGAACAGATCCTGTGTTATTTAAAGACAGCTCCTTGACGTGGGATATTGTATAGAAATCATGGACATACACACATCAAACGCTTCTCAGATGCAGATTGGGCAGGTTCTAAGATTAATCGAAAATCCACTACAGGCTATTGTGTTTTTATTGGAGGAAATTTGGTCTCGTGGAAAAGTAAGAAACAAAATGTTGCGTCTCGATCCAGTGCAAAATCAAAATAAAGAGCTATAGCACAATCTATGTGTAAGATAATGTGGATATATCAACTCTTAACTGAAATTGGTCTTAAGGCTTCAATACTAGCAAAGTTGTGGTAAGACAATCAAGTTGCTCTTCATATTGCTTCTACTCCTGTGTTTCATGAACGAATGACACATATTGAGTTTGACTGTCATTTTGTTCGTGAGAATGTGTAGCAAAACTTAATCTCTACAAGATATGTGAAGACGGGAAAACAACAGGGAGATATTTTTACAAAGGCTCTAAATGGGATTTGGGTTAATTATATTTGTAACAAGTTGGACATGATTGATATCTATGCTTCATCTTGAGGGTGAGTGTTACAAGATGTAAATTTGCTTAATTGCAGGGATTGGTACTTAATTATAGGGATTCCTATTTTGAATACCTTCCTAATATAAGTCTTTCAATCTGTATATATATGTATAATTTTCTATGAATGAGATTAAGAGATTATTTTCTCCCTTATTATCATAGCTAAAGTAGAGGGTGAGTTGAGGGAAAGGAGTTTGTGTTGGACAAAGACTCGGAAATAAGAACGGAGAAGAAAAAATAAAGTAGCAATAAACATCGAAAAAATCGAAACGGGACTTGTATGCATAATCGCTATCCTTAAACGATATTTGCTCCTCTAGCATTGATTTTGGTGTTTAAAGGGACTCACGACAAATGATTTATAAGATTGAACAAACTTCGAAGAAGAAAAAACTTAAGCATTTGTGTTACGAAAATGGATTAAAGGTACTATAATGTCGTTATGATTTATGATTTGAAGTTAATATAATTGAAATCTAATACCTATTTATAGTTTTCAATTCACATCCACAAAATAGTATCGTCCTTATAGGAAATCAAACCAGAAAATCAGCCTAACAACTAGTTTTTTTGGCCCATCCGCATGCATGGACATGAGCTATGCATGCACATGGTTAAAGGAATTTTACTTTAGTTTCTACAAAACCAATCCATGTGCACGCATGACAAAAAAGTTCAAATTGCGTCAGTTTTGATTCTCATGCCATTTGTCTTATCTAGACATCCACTATGAGGCCCAATACGCACATCAGTGTAATTTTAAACAAATAAATTATAACAATCATCCACTTGTTCAAAATTACATTGATCATATATTCAAACCAGCAACTCTTATGCATAAGAATTAGTTATCTTTTGATTTAAATCTAATTGTAGTGTAATTTTCACAAAGTATCATCGAAATTCTAGGTAGCATGATAACTTTGAACTAGGTATTCCTTGATATTGGCGAAAACACACACAAATAGCATGTGCTCACAAGTTGTTCAAACTCACTTAGCGCTACTACGGCAATGCGCTTCTCGTATTTGTTGAACATTTAAGTGAAAAACTCCAACTCTTTATTGAAACGACATCATCTAGAAGTTTATCTAGGTGAAGTTCTTCCAGTATTTTTATTATTTTTAGAGAACTTGTACATAGTACTGAACTTCATTAGGAGCTTAAAACTGAACCCTCCTTCAAGTAACAACCAATATTGTATCATTAAGATATGGTTCTTACGAAAATTATAAACTATCCACTTATCTAATAACTTATTGTTATCATTTTAAACCTGTATTATTGTTTTAGTTATGACAGGTAGGATTTTCGGCATTGATGGATCTTTTTAATTTAAGAGTTTCAACCCCATTCTATTTAATGTAGATATTACTAAGCCCTCGTTTGGCCACCATTTTCTGAAAATGAAAATGAGTGGAATAGTATTTTTTTGAAAAATGAGTGGTTAAAAAGGAATTAAAATTTTTCGATTTACGTGTAATATTATTTTATGAAAGATTGTGTGGCTAAAAATAGAAGAGATAAAAATGAAATGTAATTTAATAAAATTTAATGGGGGCCAAACGGAGACTAAATCTCTATTAAGAGGTTTCGTAAGAAGATCCACTAAAAATCTCATTTGACTTATATAGTTTAGGGAAATTATTCAACACTTGGTTAATTTCTTTTATATAGTCATATCTTAGACTCATATATTTGGAGTTCCTGTTATATACCTTATTTTATGATTTTGCTCTTGTGGCTTGATTATCACATAAAATAGATATCGAAGATGTATTCTTCAATTTTAAAGGTATCTCATATAGAAAATCCTTAAACTACTAAGCATATTTCCCGGAGTAAGCTAATGCCACTAATTCATATTCCATAGTTAATGTGTTATGTATGTTTTGTTTCTTAAACTTTCAAAAAACTGCACATCCTCTAAAAATAAATATCTAACCTGAAGTAGATTTATTTTCACTAGTGTTAGATATCCAACTAGTACAAGTAAATTCTCCTACTATGGGCGAAAATTTGAAATATCTAAATTGTTGGTTTTCTTTTAATAATTAATAACTCTTCCAATGGCCTTTCAATGTTCCTTGTTCGGATTACTAATAAACCTACTAAGGGTGTGTTTGAGCTCCTTTAAGTTTGAAAAATGTATTATCAAATCGTAGATTGATGGAGAATGTGTAATTAAAAAAGAATGAAAAGTTTTTGATTTGTGTGTAATACTATTTTAATCAAGAATATGTAGTTGAAAATGAGTATTGTAGAAAAAATAATGTAATAGAATGTGAAATAATGAATGACAAACAAGGACTAAGTTTACCAATTACAAATATTATGTTCGATCTTATGCATTGAATTGCATACATAAGACTACTTATAACACTTGTATATCGTAGTTGAGAAACAGCTCTTCCACCATTTTTTAGTTTAGAGTTTGATTAAGAGGGGTACTTAAACGAGTGTTTGAACTTATTTATCACATTCTCTATATAATGTAGAGATGTCAATCGAGCACACGGCTAGGGCTAACCATGGCTCAACCCGGCTCGGAGGCACCAAGTCAAGGTTCGGGTCGAGCCCCATTTTTGGGAGCCGGCCCTTTTAAATTAATAAACAAAAGCTAGCTATGGAATCAAAAACAAAAAAGAGATGAAAGCTTGGGTCGAGCCTAAATTTTTTGGCCGAGCAAAAGGCTCGAGCCAAAAAAAGGGCTCAAGTTCATTGACAGCCCTAATATAATGTGATTAACTTAAATAATAACCTCCACTGGTTTTTGTAATTTTGATACCAATATGGTATCCATTTGTCCAATATCTTTCATTGTATATGTGGAAGAGAGAAACTTCTTTATTTCTTTTATTTCGTCCATGTGATTACTTATAATCAACATGTCATCGACATATAAACAAATAAATGCAACGTATTTACCATATACTTTGGAATACAAAAATCTACACCATTATGTATAAAACCCAAAGAAATTATTGCAAAGTTAAATTTCTTTTGTCATTTCTTTTGTGTTTGTATTAGATAATATGATGATTTTACTAATTTACACATCTTATGTTCATTATTGGGTAGAATCTCCCTCCATCCCATTTATATAGGCCCCGTTTGGGGGCGATTTTGAGAATTGATTTTAATGACCGTTAAGAGAAAAGTGAGAACCCTCTATGAGAGAAGAAATTAAATTTTACGACTGGAATAGTGAAATAGCATTAAAAAATCAATATTTTGGGGATGAAAAATCACTCCCAAACACCCTCATTGGTTGTCTTTCCTTATTTTCTTATCCTAATTATATATTTTTGTTTCTTTATTGAGAATATTTTGTTTTGTTTATTTACTAATATATCCTTATTTAATTTACCTAATTATATTCAATTTCTCCTATTTAATCTTGAAATTATGAGTCTGTTTGGGAGTGATTTTTTTTACCGTTAGGAGAAAAAGTGGGTTTCACATGTGAGAGAAGAAGTCAAATATGACGATTAGAATAATGAAATAACAGTCAAAAAATCAATTTTTTAGAGGAAAAAAATCAATTTTTTAGAGGAAAAAATCACTCCCAAACAGGCTTTATTATAGTTTTTAACAAAAATTGCTTTTTCGATGACATTAAATACGATTTCTTAATCTGTGTGAAAATCAAAACAAACCTATATAAATGGGACGAATGGAATATTACAAATAAAGCTTATATTTGATGTAGATTGAAAGGTGATTAAAATATCAAGTTAACAATTAATTTTAATTAGACATTTTATGGAATTCATAGCTTTTCAACTACGTATTTTATCGACTTTCATCAAAACATACTATAATTATTTTAATCAATTTTATTAAAATTTACACCACCAAAAAAAAAGTTAATATACTTGGCAAAAGTTAAGAATAATATTAGTAGTTTACTTTTAAAATAAGTCTGCAATGCTTTTAACGCTTCACTTTTTATCTTTTTCTTTATTTATATCAAGTGGAGTCCTCAAAACGTTGATACAATTACAACCTCAATTTCATTTCTTTATATTATATTTTGAATCCGACACGAGCGCCCGGCGGCTGCACCCACACGCATGTTTGTATTCACTATTCAGTATTGAATGAGATCCCCAAATCATCGTCAATTCGTCTGTAAATCTCTCTCTAGGGTTTTCTCACGATTTACAATTCATTTAACTGCTGATCAATTCCAGTTTTGCATTATATGGTACCAAGCTAAATTTCAACATTTTTAATTCCTCGTATAAAAACCTCCAAAATTCTTTTTTTTTTTTGAATTATTGCAAAAATTATCAGCCTTATTTAATGCCCATAATTCACCCAATTCAATAGTGCTTTTAATTCATCAATGTCACCACTAAATCTACCCAGAAAAAATTTGCTTTCGTAGCGAAGGTTAAAATCAACAAGCTTTTCGCGATCGTTGTTCACGTCAACGTTTAAATCCTCGTCCCAATTAATGGTTGCACCGCGGGGGGTGTTGGTGGTAGAGATGGGAGACCGGCTGTCGAATAGGGATGGGGAGAATCCAGAGTCCCCCTCGGGGAAGAAGTTCAAGCCGGAGAAGTCCCCGCTATCACGGTGGGAGTTTGCTGCCGCTTTGGGGGTGTTCTTGGTGTTTTTGACCGGGTTGTTCTGCATCTACCTCACCATGCCGGCAGCTGAATATGGGGAGATCAAGCTGCCCCGCACCCTTTCCGAACTTCGTGTGCTTAAGTACGTTTTAGTAATTTTTTTGAGTGTTCAATTTTGTTCTTTGGCTAATTTAATTTGGCGGTTTTGCTCTCATTTATAAGATGACCACATTTAAATTTTCAGTAGGGATATTTTGATTGGAATTTTACGGGGACTGGCATGAAAGTCACATTGTCATTTACTGTTGTTGGATACTGGTCGCTGTGCTATTTTATTTTAGGTTATGGTAATATGCTCCCGGAGAACTAACTCAGTGGAGCTAGAGTTGTAGTTTCTACTAGCAAATGTGTTGTAGTAACTAGTGAAGAACACATTCAATTGGAAAAGATTTTTGCTTTCTCGTGATTATATTGTGTGCACTGAATCGTATTCTGAAAACTAATTTTGTTTTTGTTCTCATCCTCATATCGACAAAATCGCTCTTATCAAAGAAGAAATAAAAAGTTCACATCAACAACAAATTTGGAACGATGGGTATTTGTTTTTTAACAATGCTATTGCTACTCGTACATCATCCATCAGATATTACCAACCTGGTTTCGATGTTCTCCAATATTCTACAATTAAACTCTAGCTTCACAGCTCTTCAAAATCTTCAGGATAACACATTGTGCTGACATAGTGAACCGGTGAACCCTTTTGTATGCTCTATGTTTCCCAACCAACCTACGAAACACTCATGTGCATACCATAGCTTTCAGATCCCTATTAATGGTAGCAGTTGACTATATGTCCTTGCTATTTACCAGTCTAGCCATATGCTAGAAATAATATTCCTCAATGTTTATAGATTCAAATACTGATGATAAGTTAGCCATCATTTTCTTTAGATCCAAGATCAGTTTAAATTTTCTTGTCATTTAGGTTATCTCTGATCTGACTGTTAAAGTGGTTCTCTAGTTCAAAAGTGATGAGTTCCGCATTTTTGTTGAAGGGGTAAATTTGTCGTGAATATTATCCTATCATTCCTATGTTTTATGAGTATTCTTTTAATTAATCACAGGAACCATCTTGGAACATTTGCCAAAGATTACCCAGCTAAGTTCATTCTGGGTTACTGCTCTATATACATATTCATGCAGACATTTATGATACCTGGGACCATTTTTATGTCCTTGCTTGCCGGAGCTCTTTTTGGTGTTATCAGGGGCCTTTTTTTGGTTGTCTTTAATGCCACAGCTGGTGCATCATCCTGTTATTTCCTATCAAAGTTGATTGGCAAGCCTATTGTTAACTGGTTGTGGCCTGAGAAATTGAGATATTTTCAGGCAGAGGTACCTTTTTACAATTTATGCCAATTTAGCTGCTGAGATATGCTATTTGTCTGACTTTTCATAACTTTCAATTTCTACCACCTTACTGAAGTGAATTTTGTTGTTTCAGATAGCAAAGCGCAGAGAGAAATTGCTTAATTACATGCTTTTTTTGAGAGTTACTCCAACGTTGCCAAACCTTTTTATCAATTTAGCATCACCGATAGTGGATATACCGTTTCATATATTCTTTCTTGCTACCGTGCTAGGTCTAATTCCAGCCTCCTTTATTACAGTCAGGGTAAGACTTTTTCCCCCCACATGTTGGTATTTATTTATTTTTATTTTCAGACTATAAGCATTCTATTATACGCTAATTCCTTTTCATGCTTATAGATGTAACTACACATGCAATTATTCATAATTTCTAGTTGGTTCACCAAATAAGGGTTAGTCACAAAAAATTTGTAGAATAGAGTTACAGATTTTGTATTTTATTTATTTATTTATTTATTTCTGTAGAAGAAAATAACTGAAGATCAAAAATTAGTAGGGGCACTTTCCAGTATCGTTAAAAGATCATCCTGTTTCTTTCAGTATGTTTTTAGGTCTATTGATTGGTTGTACAACTTGTACTTGTCCAGTTTGTAGTCTCAAAACATCGTAAAATTGCTTAGGTTTGAGTTGTGAAGTTAAGCATTCTAGAAACCCTGTCTTACCTTCTTTTGCTCGCTTTGCACATGCTTGACATGATAATGATGGAGGACTTACTATGATTCTGTGGTACATTAAGAATAGGCAGTCTATATTGGATATCTGTTTTGTCTTTGTAATAATTGATATAATCTTCACCGTTGCTGTTTTGTCTTTGTAATAATTGATATTATCTTCACCGTTGCCTTTGCATGCATCAGGCTGGGCTTGCTCTTGGAGATTTAAAGTCGGTTAAAGACCTATATGATTTTAAGACCTTGTCTGTGCTTTTCCTTATTGGGTTGCTTTTATTATTCCCGACCTTTTTGAAGAGGAAGCGAATATATGAATAGAGGTATTGGTGCACTCCCTCCCATCTCTGCTGGAAATGGACCCCTCAAGATCATGTACCTGAATACAGAATGCCAAACGATAATCTACCTTTTGCTTGTGACACAGGTTTGATCGATTACCGTACAAGATCACAAAGGCCAAAACATGCATATTATTTTGTGTTTCATGTTGATTATAAAACATCACTTCCTAGGTTATATCTGGATCACTCTATAATCCTGGATTGTATTGCTATATATCAATATATGGAAAGCCAAATTCCGAAAAAGTGGATACAATATAGAATCTGATTAAATTATTAACATAAGACATGAGAGGAATATGTTTAGCAAAAATGCTATTTGTACATCATTTTTTATTTTTTATTTTTACATCAATTTTCACACTTCCTCACAAAGGTGGGGTCCACGATTATTGTGGACTCCACCCACTTGCATGTGTGTGTGTGCTGTGAAAAAAGGTGTGAAAAAAGCGTACTTGTAGAATGGTTGTATATTTAGGCCATGTTTGATTGGCCACATTTTTCATGGGAAATGGAAAATATTTTTTATTTTCCACCAAAATGTAGTGTTTGATTGCAATATCTTCTAAGGAATTTCATTTCCAGCTTTTCCCTCACATAAGTGCATTTTCTTTGAAATGGTGAAAAATCAATTCCCATCATTTTGGTGAAAATTCGGCTTTCTAGCTTTATTTTTCTTTTTAATTTTCAATAATGGAAACAAAATCTATCAATAATTGTAAAAAAAATAAAAAATATTTTAATTGACAATTTTCATAGAAAACAAGATTAAACGAACACCAAAAGATCCAAAATTTAAACATTTTTTAAGTGAAAAATTATATCAATCAAATTATCCTTTTAATTGACAATTTTCAGGAAAATAAGTTCTAGGCAATTCAATTTCTTGGAATTTGTTTTTTTTCACTCAAATTTCATCCTTGCAATCAAACAGACCATTAGTGAAATTATGTTGAGATTCAAGTTAATTGTTTCGATGGTCACTGAATTTAGGTTAATGTCTTTGATTGCTTACTGAAGTTTAAAATATCGAATTTTAATCACTAAATTTAGGTTTATATCTTTGATTGCTTACTAAAATTTAAAATGTCAAATTTTGGCTACTGAACTTTGAAAAGTATTATACGTTATTTATAAGCATAACTTTCATTTCAAACCTCTAACGAAATTAGTGTCTTGGCTGACGGAATGCACACGTAGCGTAGGGATGGTAATTCGAACCGTCAAAATTGAAAATCGCGATTAATTGAACCGAATGGGGCGAAAAAAGTCGATGGGGCGAAAAAAATTGAACCGATGGTGCAATGGGACAGATGTGGTATTTGATTTTAATGAATCGGTTCAGGGCGGGGCGGGTATGGTATTTACGCCATCGCCCCAAACCAAACCGATTAACCGTTAGAAAAAATAATAAATTAATAATAATTGGACTTTCCATAATTTTTTGATTTTTTCTACGTTAACTACTTAATCTCTTTGGCCCAAAATTTCTAGCCCATTAACAAGTTAAATATAAACTCAAGTACCTAACCCTAAACCCTAACAGTCTAACACAAAGGCACAAACATTTTATTGGAAAATTGGAATCTCAACTCCTGTCTTTTGGGTTTGTCAAGTGCCTACTGTCGCCTTTTCCGCCTCTTCCCGTTTGCATTATTTTCTTCTCCTTCGACCTTCAGGCTTCCACCACTGGTGAGTTTTTCATCTTCTTTTTTTATAATTTGTATATGTCTATTTGAATTTGCTGTGAATTTCGTACAAGATTTAGCCAAAGTATATCCAGAATTTTCAATTTTTTACAATTGATGGCCACTTCAGAGATAAATGATTTTAATTTCTCTCCTCTTTGATGACTTTTGGCCTAAACAACACATAAACAAGAAATTGAATTCTTTAATCACAGAAACCAAAATTTGGTGACGAAGAGGTACATTTTTTGGTTTAAATTTTCAGTTAAGAACATTATGGATTATTAATTTATTACTCTACTTACATTTCTTATATACTAAATAGGAATCAACTTTGAGTTTTGACGTATGCTAGTAAGAGTTTTTGGGAAGAATGAAGATTGAATAAAAATTGAGGTTGGAGCTTTTTAAGTTATTGAATATTGTTTGTTAAATTTGGATTTTGTATTTAAAAATTGGGATATTTGTTGTATTTTCGTTTAAGATGTTGTTTGTTACATTGATTTAGTATCATGTTTTTGGTTTCATAGACTTTTTTCATACATTTTTCTTTTTATTCGACGGATAGACCAATTAAAAATAATTTATTTTCCTGATTATTAACAATCTGAACTGAGCCGAACCGAGATACAAATCGAATCGAACCGAACCGACTTTTGTGATTATGGTGCGATTATGGTATGACCAAAAAATTGGTGGTTCGGTGATGATTTTGGCCGAACCGACCCCGAACCGAACTGTTGCCATCTCTAACGTAGCGTCCTATCACATTGTTAAACTTTGAGATGGTCAATTTTTTGTCACTAAACTTTAAAAAATATTTTCTATTGCTCACTGAAACACAATATATTTATCATAAAAGTTAAATTAAATTTGAATTTTTAAACAACGAATTTTAACCCCTTTTGATGGCCATTATTTAAAAGAGAGAGAGAGTTCTAAAAATAGTGACTTTTTGAAGAATGTGTTGTTAAAAAGTTGAGAAATTTTTGAATTTACATGTAAAATATTTTATTGTATAGATGTGTGGTTAGATCCAAATTTATAGTGAGTAATAGAAGATGTTTTTCAAAATTTAGTGGTCAAAGTTTGATGTTTTTCAAAGTCCAATGGTCAAAATTCAACCACTTCAAAATTTAATGAGCAATAGAATATATTTTTCAAAGTTTAGTAACCAAAATTCAACAATTTCAAAGTTTAACAGTGTAACGGGCGTCGTGTGTGCATTCCATTAACCACGTCACCAATTCTATTAGAGGTTTGATACGAATGTTATGCTAGAGAGTAACATACAATATTTTTCAAAAGCTAAAACTCGACATTTTAAATTTTAGTGAGCAATCGAAGATATGAACTTAAACTCAGCGATTAAAACTTAACATTTTAAACTTAAATGAGCTATCGAAGATATAGACCTGAGTTCAGTCATCATTGTAACAATTAACTCCTGAGATTTTCCTTAATATTATTGATTGGATTTTGTGCACCATGGTTTGAACTTACAAGGAGTTGAAATATAACCCGTGTTTGCTAGAGATTTAAATTAATTTTGATAACAGTTGATAGAAAATATGATTGAAAAGCTGTGTATCCTATAGAATGTGTGGTTAAAATTAATTGTTGACTTTGACTTAAATTTTAATCAAATTTTTTATCAGTACAAATTGGGTTATGATGATTATTGCAAATCTCGCTTCGTTTTGGTGCCGGGGAAGTTGTATTAATACTTGCGTTGTCGTTATATTTCTTTTTGTCTTTGTGATTACAGTATTAGTTTATTTAAGCAACCTTAATTTTACGGTGTTTGGTTGTGATGTAGATTTTTGCTTTTGTACTGCTTCCTTATTTGTCTTGTCCCTGGAGAAACATCTTGATATCGATTAATTTTCACATTATTATGTGATGTTAACATGTTTGGTTCAGTTAAAAAACTGAATTAAAATATAAATTAAAATAATTAATTAATTTTTTCCAGACATTTCATATGATCAACAATTTTTTAATCATATATTTCATCAACTTTATCAAGCTTTACTAAAAATCTGATTTTATTTAAACCAAATTAGGGCAAAGTTTTATGTGTAATTAATTTGGAATCATTTTTATAAATTTATCTATATTAGGTACTTTGCTTGGTTCATTGCTGTATTTACGAGTATTTAAAGTAATTATAGCATCAACTTTGAAGTAATTTTTTTAGGGTTAATTTCACAAATGGTCACTGAACTTACGCGAAAATTACAAAACGGTACTAAAGTTTAAAATTTTCAGTAACGGTCACTTAAGTTTCGAGAAGCTTTTAGAAAAGGTAACCGAGTTTAAAAACTTTCAGAAATAGTCACTAAAATTTAAAAACTTGCAGCAACTGTCACTGAAGTTTAAAAATAATTTTTCAGTTTTTTGAGGTACTTTTGGAACAACTTTTCAGTCACTTCCAACCACCAATACCGTCGAATTTTGATACCATTGGAAGCCCTCCGCTTGAATTAACACTCAAAATCGCATTTTAACTCCGATGGATTCGATCGAAAAATCGCCCAAAAAATCTGAAAATCTGTCCAGATTTTTTGTAAAAGTTAACTTTCTTGACAATTTCTCATGGGATTCAGATTTGGGAATAGTAATTGTACGTGGTACTCCATTGCAATGTCAAGTTACTCTACTTAAGTTTAATATGCTAGATCGTTACTAATGTGGTAGCCAATTAAACAAGTCAAGAAGGTCCGTGCTCCACGTCACCCCCACTATCAAAGTGTCAGGGTGAAATAGTCCACTTGTACATTCGTGGTTAGACCGAGGCCCTAAAGTGATACGCCTCAGAAGGATGTGCACCGAAGTGGTAAGAGGTGGAATAGCGCTGCTAGAACAATATCACGTCAGCTTGTCCCTCAACCAAGCGCCTCTACCTTCACAACTTCTCCCAAAGTTGTCATCATTCAGAGCTTCATCCTCAAGCAAGGACCTTATCTCTGCCTTCACAAGTTTTCTCAAAGTTGCTACCATTCTGAACCTCGTCCTCAAACAAGGATCTCACCTCTACTTTCACAACTTTTCTCAAAGTTTCTATCTCATTCACGATATAATATTCTAAGCCAAGGCATCACATCCCTACATTGAAAGTCTACACATTATACAAATTTCCAGACATGAATTTGGGGGACTATATTGTATTTGTAGTCGAAAATTTCTAAATGCATGATAGAAAGTAAAATATTTTGAGCCAAAGCATCACATCCCTACATTGTAAGTCCACGCATATATAAATATTTTTACATGGACTTGGGGGATCAGTATTACGCCTCTTATAAAGAGGCTTTAGATCGTTACAAACATGGCAACCAACTAAGCAAGTAAACAATGTTCGCACTCCACATCACCACGTTCCATAAAAGTGCCAAGGTGAAATAGTTCACTTTTACATTCGTGGTTAGACCAAGACCCCAAAGTGATAAGCCTTGAAAGGATATACGCCAAAGTGGTAAGATGTGGAAAAATGCTGCTGGAACAATATTACATAGCCTTGTTGATATTAAATAGGAGATCTTTCATACAAAGATCTAGAATGATTAAATGATGTAATGTTTGTGCAGCAAACGCTAAAAAATCAAATCATAAAACCCACTCATTAGAGACTATCA